GATGCACCTGTAGTTGTGAGTTTGGAGCACTCGGGTTTGAGCACCTGTTCCTCTTGTTTGCTGAGCACACATGTTTGGTTGAGAGCACAGTTTATTTCAGCTAGTTTGCCACCCCTAAGGTAAGCTTTAGCCTTGTTGTTTCTTTTACTTTTTGTAAGATTGTTTTTGTATTCTGAACGTGTAGTAAAATGTTTTCTTTTTAACCTGGTGAACTTCGATGTACCATTTCTGTAATAAAACTTGTCAATTTTGAAGAGTAATTATGCTGGTTTGATGTTTCTTTTTTGTGTGTGTATATATATATATAATATATAACGTTTTGTTTGGTTGGAAGCACGTCTCTGTCTTCTCATTGCATCATTGGACTTATAGTCCTTGAGTATTTTCTTGGGTGTAATTCCCAGGGTGGCGTAGTCAACATACAAGCTTAAGGTTACCAAAGTTACTGCACCGGTCACAATCGGAACCACCATATACTGAACTTATTTTGTCTGATTTAATATGGATGGAATGGAAACACTTTTGCTTTAAAATGTTTTATTTTCTGTTTAATTTGTAACAAATGTAAAGTTGACACATCTGAACTTTCCATTTTTTCTCATCTTTTTCTCAATTTAGAAAGTAAAATGTATTTTTTCAACAGTGCTATGTGTCTGGTACATTGTCTGAAATTACAAGATTTTTAAAAAGAAAACCTTAAATTAGGTAACAGTGCTTGTGATTTGAACCTCGATCTTCCATGCGAAAGACCACACATAAACAGTAAGCTAAAGGCACTACGCCATTATTTCAATGTGTAAGTGGTGGTCTTAGGGAGCTTAGCCTCCAGCTAGTCCTTCAACTGCCTCTGGACTAGCCATGTTACACTTGTAAACACAATCACAGTTCTTATTAAAAAAAAAAAAAAAAAAAGAACATTCTTAACACCAAACTTGCCTGTTTAACTTTAGACAAATGTAACTTGGCCAGAAATTTTGGCTACAAAAACATTACGATTAGAAAATAAACATCTTGTCATGTGATTTTTTTTGGTAGATCGCTTGAAATCACACACACAAAAAAAGGTTTAAGCTATTTATTTAAAAAAATGCTAAATATTAAATTAAGTACAATGTGTGTTGTGCCAAAAAAAACAAACGGTCCTCTTTTTACTTTAGATTATATATCCTCCTTGTAGTGTTGTCACGGTACCAAAATTTCAGTATTCGGTACCAATACCAGTGAAAATCCACGGTTCTCGGTACCAATTTCGGTACCAAAGCAAAACACAAAAACATGCTAATTGAACAATGCACTATTTTTATTAATAAAGTTAAACAAAATTAAAATGTACAAAAAAATCAGTGGCATTCTTTATAGTTATTTAAAATTGTATTTCAAGTTATCAAATTATTACTTTTTCCACAAGTAATAAAAGTATGAAAATAAAAAACAAATTACAAACCTAAAAAAACAACAATATGCCATACATATGAATTCAGCAACAGCTCAGTTCAGTCTTCTTGCCTCAGGTGAGTTTTTTTCGTATTTCTGCTGACGCTGAAAAGCATCTGTAACTGTTGTCTGAGGTGTTTCATTATCTTCTTCTGCAGCTGTAAAAGGAAAATATTATATACTTTAGTAATGCAATGGGCTGAGTCTGACCAAATGCAACATTACATCAACACTAGCTAAAATACAACTTTTCAGTAAATAAACCTCAAGATTTTATAATACATTTAGATAAGATTTCATTAAGTGTGTATGATATCACTGTTACGTAGATGGAAACTGTAATATTAAAAACACTTTACAATAAGACTGCATTTGTTAGATAAAATGACCTAACAATAAACAATAGTTATATAGCAATTATGTATTAAATAACATTCTGCATATTAATTAATGTTTTAAATATATATTGTTCACTCACTGTAAGTTGATGTTAGATAATACATGAAGTCATGTAAATGAATGGGATCTTATTGTAACGGGTTCCTAAACTATACAGGAGATAAAAATAGTAAATACTGTCACGCCCTCCTGTTTTTTAAATCTAATAAAAGCTATAGGAGCATTAAATAGTAAATAAAGAAACTTCATTCTAATACTTGTGTTAGCCGCGCTTAGGCTAACGATTAACTACGCAGACGAGCGGTGCTTATTTCAATCCGACATTCAAATCAGAATATGATATAATATTTATAACAGAATTTATAACATATAATCGAATCTTACCTGTTGAACTCTTTCATTAGATCTGGGTGTCGGTCTTTGAGGTGTTTTATTAAGTTGGATGTGTTTCCTCCTTTTGAGAGAAAACTTCTATGACATCGTTTGCAAATTGGTTTTTGTTGATCTATGAGGTTCCCCTGGTCATCAGCCAAAAATCCAAAACATTTCCATACATGGCTTTTTCCTCCTTTCCTGTCAACAAGTCGATTCAGAGCCACCTCATCAGCAGAACCACCGGTCACCATGTCTCAGTGCTTTAATGAAGAGAGCGCATCTGCGCATCTTTTGGATAGCGCATCAAGAACCGGGTTTACCGGGTACTCTGTACCACCGGTACTTAAGAAAACGTGGTACCTTAACTTTTTTTCATCAGCCAAAAATCCAAAACATTTCCATACATGGCTTTTTCCTCCTTTCCTGTCAACAAGTGGATTCAGAGCCACCTCATCAGCAGAACCACCGGTCACCATGTCTCAGTGCTTTAATGAAGAGAGCGCATCTGCGCATCTTTTGGATAGCGCATCAAGAACCGGGTTTACCGGGTACTCTGTACCACCGGTACTTAAGAAAACGTGGTACCTTAACTTTTTAATTGTTTTAGTACCGACTTGGTACCGAAGTACCGGGTCTTTTGACAACACTACCTGTATCCCAGAAGTTTGAAAAAAAAAATGAAAATGAGGTAGCATATTTCTGGGAAATATAAACACACACACACACAAAGTAGTCATTCCTGCTGAAGTACATGTTGTAGTAGTGTGTACTATTAATGTCATGTATAATGGATGAAGTGCTAGGATGTTCATCTTGGGTGGATGGAGATTCTGATTGCCGGTGGTGATGTGGAGGATTCATTGGCAGCAGGGCAGTAGGCTGGGTTGGCTGAAACAGGTGGGACAAGGACCAAGCACTAGGGATTGATGTTGGTGGGGGTGTCGTTGTCCAGGCTGGAACAGGAATGAGGGGGGAGGCTGACCAGGATTCAGCGCACTTGCTAGAGTGCCCATTAGTTGCAGAAACATCTGGTTAGTGGCCCGTTGCTGTGCCTGCATCACCTGGAATCTTCTCTCCTCAGCCTCCCGTTGTTCCTTCAATATTCTCTCAAAACAGGCAGCCTCTTGAGCCACCTGGCTCTGTTCAGCTCTATGCAATTCTGTCAGCATCATTCTGTTGTCCATCATATATGCCTGGATGTCAACATCAGCTTTGCAAGACTTTATCTTTCTTTTTCGAGCTTTGGCTCCAGGAATGGGCAGTCTCCCTCCTATGATGCCTTCTTCATTGACACTGCTCTCTGTACTTGGATCATCAGACACTCCTGCATCAGCAACGGTGTTTGTGACATCTGCATCAGAGGATATATGTTGCTTGAATCTTCCACTGTTTATTGAAAAACACAATTTCTTTGTTACTTATGTAATTTTAATGCAGATAAAAATATATTTCAATGCATATTGCAATGTAAACAATGCAGTGTGTGTGTGTGAAACAGAATATCACAAAAATAAATATAACTGCTTCTGGTTAATGTTAAGTAACCTAAACTTGCTGTCATATTTGGCATAGCAAAGTATAATCTATGCCTAAAGTTACACCATAACTTCTGAAATAAGTGCTTGGTATTGGTAAGTGCAAAAACGAAATAAACTCACCGTCAACATCGGTGTCAGATGCGGTAGCTTGGTCAACTGTGCTAGCTAGCATCATTGGAAGCAGACGATGTTGAACTTTCATGGGACTCAACAACATCCACCGGATCAACGTCCGGTTTTGTCCCAAGTATAATATCAAGGTCATCATACCAGGGGAACTTGTCTTTCTCCTTACCCGAGCTGCCCGTTTTATTAAGTGCATCCCGCACTTGGATGTACTGCTGGCGGAGCTTCTTTGCCTTAACCCGGCACTGTTCCACAAATCTATCAAACCCCCTGTCCCTGAGCTGTTTGCTAAACAATGAGATCGCGCTGTTCTTGTGAGTTTTCGAAAGTTGGGACCTAATATGGTCATCAGACCAAATTTCTATGAGGCTCCGCACCTCCTCACAACTTCAAGTTTGTCCGCAAGCTGCCATGCTAAAGTGCAAACTGTCAAAAAACACTTCCTCGTCCCATAATGCACAGCGCAGCTGACTACGGCAGCTGGTTTAGTCCAAAAATGATCAGTACTTTTTGCAGTTGGGTCTGTTCGAGGTCGGATCACCTTCTCACCACAAACGAACCACTCCAGAGTTCATTTGAAAGCATGCCTTCTTCATTGACACTGCTCTCTGTACTTGGATCATCAGACACTCCTGCATCAGCAACGGTGTTTGTGACATCTGCATCAGAGGATATATGTTGCTTGAATCTCCCACTGTTTATTGAAAAACACAATTTCTTTGTTACTTATGTAATTTTAATGTGCAAACTGTCAAAAAACACTTCCTCGTCCCATAATGCACAGCGCAGCTGACTACGGCAGCTGGTTTAGTCCAAAAATGATCAGTACTTTTTGCAGTTGGGTCTGTTCGAGGTCGGATCACGTTCTCACCACAAACGAACCACTCCAGAGTTCATTTGAAAGCGTACCGAGACCACCTCTTCAAGGTCTCGGTACGCTTGTTTGGTCCGCTTTTGGTGCGCACCCGAGTGCGATTGCTGCATTCACACCTGACCAAACGAACCGCACCAAAGGGGATAACGAACTCTAGTGCGATTCAACCGAACTAAATGTGTGATGTGTGAGCACCCTCCAACTCACACCTGCTTGGAAGTTTCTAGTAATCCTGAAGAGCTTAATTAGCTGGATCAGGTGTGTTTGATTAGGGTTGGAGCTAAACTGTGCAGCACTGTGGCCCTCCAGGAATTGAGTGTGAGACCAATGTGTTAAGGCTTCTTACCAGTGTGAATTCTCATATGGGGGTCAAGGTTTCCTTTTTTAGTGAAACTCTTTCCACACTGTTTGCAGGTGAAAGGCTTCTCTCCAGTGTGAATTCTCATATGGGCATCAAGGTTTCCTTTTTTAGTGAAATTCTTTCCACATTGTTGGCAGGTGTAAGGCTTTTCTCCCGTGTGAATTCTCATATGGGCATCAAGGTTTCCTTTTGTAGTGAAACTCTTTCCACATTGTTGGCAGATGCAAGGCTTTTCTCCCGTGTGAATTCTCATATGGATGTCAAGGTTTCCTTTTGTAGTGAAACTCTTTCCACATTGTTGGCAGATGCAAGGCTTTTCTCCCGTGTGAATTCTCATATGGGCGTCAAGGTTTCCTTTTTTAGTGAAATTCTTTCCACATTGTTGGCAGGTGTAAGGCTTTTCTCCAGTGTGAATTCGCATATGGGTGTCAAGGTTTCCTTTTGTAGTGAAACTCTTTCCACATTGTTGGCAGATGCAAGGCTTTTCTCCCGTGTGAATTCTCATATGGATGTCAAGGTTTCCTTTTGTAGTGAAACTCTTTCCACATTGTTGGCAGGTGTAAGGCTTTTCTCCAGTGTGAATTCTCATATGGGCGCCAAGGTTTCCTTTTGTAGTGAAACTCTTTCCACATTGTTGGCAGGTGAAATGACTTCCAGCTCCTGTCTTTTGAGCTCTTTTTCGTGAATAAGTCTTTTTAGTCTTTGAGCAATTAAACAAATTTTCTCCAGTGAAATTGTGATGCTTCTTATTCTCTTCATCTTCCATTTCATTCAGTTGTCGACTCGTCTCTTCAGATCTAAAGCAAAGCGAGATCAATACAAGTTAATGTGCCATCTGAATGGCACAGAGCAACAAACATCAATATGTTTAGACATGCATAACATAAAAACCAACAACATGTATGCTAGATATCCACTAAGCTACATAAATAGGTGTTGCCTGTAATCTTCTTCTCAATACGGTTAACTTTTTGCTTCCTTTAGGAAATGTCCCAAATATTTTTCAAGCTGGCAGTTCTCAAACCCCTTATGAAAATGCTTGACTCGGGAGAACTGGTTAATTACATACAGATCTCTAATTTACCATTTAAGTGTAAAATATTATAGACAATATTGTCCTCTCAGCTATGTTCAGAGATATTGTATTTGTGAACAATTTAAGTCAGGATTTATGCCCCATCATTGTACAGAAACGGTGTTTATTAAAGTTACAAATGACCAGTTTTTGTCATATAATCATGACTTTATACATTTCCTTGGGTCCTATTAGATCTTCTGACAATATAGTTCATGACATTCTAGCTTGAGAATATTTTGGCATTTGTGGACAAGTATAAGCATGGTTTATGTTTCATATATCTGACTGCTTCCACTTTCCATTGTGTAAATGTGGAGACATCTCATCAAACACAAGCATGGAGTGCCACCAGGCTCAGTAATAGGTCCTCTGCCTTTTATACATGTTTTCCTGTCACAGAGAATAAACTGTTACTATATACTGTATATATACACTAGGGCTGCCCCCTAATAGTCGACAACTAATTAGTCGACCAAAATTTTATTAGTCGCAGAAAAAAATCCACAGGCAGTCCGTGACTAACAGATCGTTAACGGCTAGTCTTTGGTGATACAGTACATCTGAAATATGTAAGTATTAATGAAAATGCTTGACTCGGGAGAACTGGTTAATTACATACAGATCTCTAATTTACCATTTAAGTGTAAAATATTATAGACAATATTGTCCTCTCAGCTATGTTCAGAGATATTGTATTTGTGAACAATTTAAGTCAGGATTTATGCCCCATCATTGTACAGAAACGGTGTTTATTAAAGTTACAAATGACCAGTTTTTGTCATATAATCATGACTTTATACATTTCCTTGGGTCCTATTAGATCTTCTGACAATATAGTTCATGACATTCTAGCTTGAGAATATTTTGGCATTTGTGGACAAGTATAAGCATGGTTTATGTTTCATATATCTGACTGCTTCCACTTTCCATTGTGTAAATGTGGAGACATCTCATCAAACACAAGCATGGAGTGCCACCAGGCTCAGTAATAGGTCCTCTGCCTTTTATACATGTTTTCCTGTCACAGAGAATAAACTGTTACTATATACTGTATATATACACTAGGGCTGCCCCCTAATAGTCGACAACTAATTAGTCGACCAGAAGAAGCTTGGTCGACCAAAATTTTATTAGTCGCAGAAAAAATCCACAGGCAGTCCGTGACTAACAGATCGTTAACGGCTAGTCTTTGGTGATACAGTACATCTGAAATATGTAAGTATTAGCAACAGCTACATGGCCGCTCAATCTGATGTTAACCTAGAGAAATGTGCACTTGTACAAGTGTCTGTGCGGAGAGTGGAAGCTGAACAGTAGCTCACTGCAGGACCGTCTCGGTCTGTGAGTGCAAAACTCCGTGTATATCTTTGCCTTACAGACATAAAAAATATATCTATAGAGAGTGAAATGTTTACTTTCAAATGAAACAATTCAAATGGAAAACAAATTCTCAGATTATGTAATCCGTATGAAACATGCATACAGGTGCATACTGTGGAGATGACGAGTCGGTGTCTCTGACTTCATCTCTGAAGCTGAAAACAAAGAAAGCACTAGTTTATCAAATTATTAAAATTTTAATGCATTCTCCTTACGGTTTTTCACCGAAACATTCAGAATCATTACTTCCATTGGTGCGCTGTGGCAAGCTTTATGCGTTCATTAGGCTATGTAGGCAATTAAAGGCTCATTATAATGATTTAAATGGATTATTATTAAACGTGCGATTAGTCGACTAATGCTTTTAATGAACGACTACTAGTCGACTAGAAAAATCCTTAGTCGAGGGCAGCCCTAATATACACACAGTCAGGTCCGGAAGTAATTGGACACTGACTGAGTTTTTGGGCTTTTGCCTTTATACACCACTACAATGGATTTGAAATGAAACAATCAAGATGTGATTGAAGTCCAGACTTTTAGCTTTATTTTAAGAGGTTCCACAAAAATATAACATTTACCATTTAGTAGTTACAGCCATTTTAAGCAAAGTACCTCCATTTTCAGGGGCTCAATAGTATTTGGACAAAGTGCCATAATTGTAAATATAAGCACAATTTAATACTTGGATGAAAATCCTTTGCAGTCAATGACTGCCCGTAGTCTTTGCAGATTTTCTTTTCTTTTTTATAATCTTGACAAAACACATATTGTTGGAAATGCCTGACAGTCAAGGTTCCGTATTTGGTGATTGTTTTGTAATAGAAGTGATATCGTGACAGAAATTGATTGATTTGATGCAGAAAACTGTAGAAAAAAAATCAATAGAGTTTGGGTGTAACAATGGTTCTACAACTGCTATATAACTGCATAAATTACACTAAATTAAGTTATAACAAAAAAAAGTTACATTTACATTATAATATTTTTTAATAATTAAAAAAAAAAAAAAACATTTAAATGGTGGCTGTGGCATACTTTTATTTGTGAAGGGAATGCGCCCCGATCTACCTAAATGCGTTTATGTTCGCGCGAATCATTTGTGATCCAGCTTCACTTACAGCAGAAGTCAGTATAAGGTTTTTTTTATGAATCTATGCAATCGCTATTCCTAATAACGTGCTAGTAGGCAAGTTTCGCGGCAAAAGTAAACAGTCTCTCAGAGCACGGTTTGTCACCCCACAGAAGAGAGGGGCGGGGTCAGCAGAGCTCATTAGCATTTAAAGCAACATGCAAAAAACGGGTTAATTTCTGCAGAGCTGATTTTGACAAGGTAAAAAGGGTGTTTTTTTACATTACCATTGAGAAATTTTAACCAAAGTATGTTATAGCCTTTTCATTAAGAATTTGTGGAAAATGGGCATTCGATGACCCCTTTAAAGTGGAGGAGATGATCAGTTCATGTGCACTACATGCTGCCACGTCAGTTGAACTGAGGCGCTACAGCGATCTGTCACTCCACCTTAAACAGCACCAAAACGGCATTTATAGTTTGAATGCTGCAATACAATGGATAGAATTTGAAATCTGACACTTTGTTTCATATTAAAAGTACCAAAGCACAATGTTTATTGCCAGGGTTGGGGAGTAACGGAATACATGTAATGGCGTTGCGTAATCAGGATACAAAAATGTAGTAACTGTAATTCGTTACGGTTACATCAAATAAACAAAGTATTCAGATTACATTTTGTAAAACGTGGGAATACTATCAGGATTACAGTGGTTTCATTTAAAATAAAATATATGAGCATTTTGAAATAATAACACTATATTTAGCGCTGCATGGTTCCGTTGACACTCATGTTGACTCACGTGAGCCACCTGCTGGTGCGTGCGCTAATAACACCCATCTACAATTATTCTCCTCAAACACGGGATGATTAGATGCTGCTACAGAAAATTAATGATGATGCTTCCTGCTGGGAAAAATGTTATCATGTCTGGAAATTTCAGTTATTTTGTTTTCAAAGAGGATAAAGGAAATAACATAGTTGTACAGCGTAAGCTAGGGCTGGGCGATATGGCAAAAATTTTATCTCGATAAATTTTTTCCATATTGAACGATAACGATATATATTTCGATATAAGTTGTTAATGCTTCCAGCTTTAAAAGAGTATCCCAACAATGATTGAAGCCACAAAAATTAGAGGGTTCATTAAAATTACACTTTAAAAGTATAGTTTATAAAAAAAAAAAAAAAAAAATTTACACATTTGGCCTTAAAAATTAAAACAACTTACTAAAATAAATTTAAAAATAAAAGTTGACAAAAGATGGTAAATGAGAGTAAATGTCCAAAATGTATACATAATACTATTGTAAACATAATTTGTAACACAATTACAGTTTTTTTCCCCCCCCAGAAAGACTAACTGTCAACGGTGTCTGGCTTTAAGAGGTATTTTAAATGTGCAAAACGTAAACATAAAAATATACAACTTCTGGCAAGTGCATACAATTTGTAAAACTTTTACAGGTTTTTTGCCAGAAAGACTAGTCTCTCCACTGTGTCTGGCTTTAAAGCTGCCCTGTTGCAGGACACTATATTACCACCTGTGCTAAAAGCACGCTCTGAGGGTGAGCTGGTGGCAGGAATACACAGGTAACGTTTTGCCAGGAGGCTCACTCTGGGGTATGTTGCTGAATTAATCTTCCACCATGCCAGGGGGTTGGTCTCGCTGTCTGCATCAGGAGCTTGCAGGTAGCTGTTTAGTTCAGCTTCAATAGCCTGCTGTTCTGTGGCACACACCCATGGCTCTTTGGATTCTCTGGTCTCTCATACTCCCCTCTGATGATGAAGAAAACAATATAGGCACATGCTTAGAATCTTTAAAAGGCAAAGATGATTATAAAAATGACTTGTTTATGATGATAAAAAGTATTTTGTGATGATAAATTACAATGTTATGAGATTTTCAATCAACGAGAAACTACATTTAGACCACACACACTAGGGCGGTCTTTTTATCCCACAAATCTGAGTTAAATGACATAATGGCTTAAGCATGCCATGACAACTTCAATGCCAACAGAAATGTAACAATCAAAATTGAACGAATTATGATAAATGATCACGTTATTATTGTGGAATAGATGCATTACTTACATTTTAAAACATTAACGGCATTTAACATGCTTAATATATATGCATTTATCAAATAGCGTCAAGCAGGGCTAGATGATCATTTATTTATCTCTGCCTTTACCGCACACAACCACACGCAAGTTGGTGTTTGTTAGGACAGTGTGAATACGACAGCATTTTCTAGATTATGCAGTCAAACGTGATAGCCTTAAATGCTGTGAAATCAATTAGGATATTTTATAAATCCTCATATGCTGTTTTTAGCACTGAAAACTTTACCCTTTTTTAGATGCTCAACTTACCAATGGCTAGATGTCAGTGCCGGTGACCAAAACACTGCAGACAGGTCCAGTTTTTAAGTGAGACAGCCTTGACGATGTTTGTGCCGTTGTCCATTGTAATGCACACCTGGCGGTCCTCGCTAAGGCCCCAAGATGCGAGTGCATCCTCCAGACCCGCAGAAAGTATTTCCGCAGTATGGTCGTCCGGAAAATATGCAGTTTGCAAGCATCTTGATTGCAGACCTCACTCCTCGTCAATGTAATGAATGGTGAGGCTCGGATGTCCGGCTCGACCATAGGTCGGAGGTAGTGACAAAAAAATCTCACATTCCTTAGATTATTTTCCTGCTTTTCGCGCCACTCTTCATATAGCTGAGGCAGTGCGGTTTTGGAAAAGTATTTTCTGCCAGGGAGTTCGTACCGGCAGTCAAGTACTTTAACTAATTTCCTAAACCCGTCTTGTTCCACTGTGCTTAGGGGCATAATTTCTTTCGCTAGAAAGTAAGAAACGGCCCTGGTTATGTCCTTGCTTCTTTTGGAACTCTTTTCATAGGGGGTAATAGCCACGAAGGATGACACAATCGATTTTTGCTTCGGTACAGCCCCGCTGCTAGCCCTGCTTGTTGACGGAGTAGCATCGACCCGCATTTTCATGCTCTCGGTGTGGTCGTTTGGGTGATACTTCTTTAGGTGATGGAATAGGTTGGTTGTGTTGCCAGTCTTGGTTTTCACAAACTCGCCAAACCACTTCCATATAACCGAATTCGTGCTACCCGTTTTCTCCACAATTTCATCATCATAACTCGAGGTTAGTTTCACTTTCGTCAACCAACTTGAACATTTGCAGGTACGACTAGCATGGAAATCATGTTAGCTAAAATTTACTGTTAGTGATTTAAACTTCCATGGTGTGCATGACTGCAGTTGTGCGTGTAAGTTTTCTAGCGGAAAATGTGCTGGATCCCCACCCAACATTCAGTCAATGAAATAAAGAAAGATCACAGCATTTCACATACACTTCAAAATGTTGGCTTATTTTAAAATAGACTAATATGTATATGGTGTAATTTGTTTTTGTATAAACTATATTTGTTTTTTCCTTGTACAGGTTAAAGAAATAAAATTAAAAATATTAAAAATAAAACGAACACTAAACTGTATAGCCACTAGATATCTGCATAGCCTTTTATATAAATATATACACAGGCTGTAATATCTAGACGGTGAAACAAGACACGATTTGTAATAATTTCAAATAGTTTTTACTATTTACTATTAAAAATACTATGGAAGTCAACGGTGCCCCAGAACTGCTCGGTTTCCAACATTCTTCAGAATATCTTCCTTTGTGTTCGGCAGAACAAAGACATTCATACGGGTTTGGAACTACTTGAGGATGAGTAAATGATGACAGAATTTTCATTTTTGGGTGAACTGTCGCTTTAAATGGTCTGATTAGCCAAAAACACTCAAATTGTAACAACAAATAATAAATCAAAGAATACAAATGACACAGGCTCACTGCTTAGTTTCAATTAATACTACAATTACTAAGTTGCATTTAACAATACACTTTACAAAAAAAAAAGGATCTTAATAAAAGTTCATTACACGTCTGTTGTTCTCGTTTTGAGCAGAAGTTAACACGAAATAACCTTCATTAATGTTAGATGAAGTATTACAATGTTGCATTTAATAATGATTAGTTAACTTAACAACACTCGTGAAAACAACAACAACGTATACTGAACGCGTTGTATCAAGTTAAACACTTTAAACGATTAAGACCACAAACCTTTCTTCAGCTGAAACACAGACGCAGCAATAAGGCGTCACATCGCCAGATCAAAATAAAAGTCCTTCTTCTTGGGTTTTTAACGGCGGCTGGCACCAACTCAAATAGGTGCATTACCGCCACCTTCTGGAGTGTGAAACAGAGTTTTAAATTCTATCTACCAACCCTGTATCTCTTATAAAATCAAAGAATACATGACTATTTATTTCACTTGCCCATTTGATTAAAACCTTAAAATTAAGATCCTGAATTCCATTTTTCCTTATTTCTACTATCATTTTTCTTCTTTCTTGTTCATACTTGCTACATTCAAGAAATACATGCGGTATTGTTTCTCCAACATGACATTGTTCACATGTTTCCCTGTTATTTTAAGAGTGCCCTAGCAATATTCTGTTAAAGATAACCTCTTCTTTCCTTGACTTACCTATACACTTTATATTATGACTTACTTTGTTTATTCAACTTTAAACTTTCCTCCATATTAAAACCTTAATCTCTGATTTACTTAATGGAACTTGTATCTCTAGAGTTTCTCTCTGTAAAGCTAAATCCTCTCTCTCTCTCTCTCTCTTGCTCTGGTTTTATTACCAACTTGTTCAGGTGCATACCGCCACTTACTGTACCGAGGTGTGCAACTTCAGGGCTTCATGTACTTAGCATAGTTATAATCATACATTTTTTTTTTTTTTAAAGCCCACCCCAAAAAAACAAATGTCCATTTCCCATATACTGTGCTCTAACCCTGTATCTTTAAGAAAATTAAAGAGAGCCTTACTACATTCCCACATTTTCTCATCTGCCCCCAAAATCCCTGTTGGATCCTATGTATTTACATAGAAAAAACACATAGCCTACAAATAATAATAAAACATGTCAGAGATATTCAAAGTTCAATTTTGAAAAGGATTTCTTGTTGTCCGAATTAGTCGGTGCCAATTCTATTACTGTCAGAGTGACAAGTCAGAGTGACAAGTGTTGACTTTCAAACACACACACACACACGACTATCAATTCTGTTACATATGACACTCTACCTTTGTAACAGAGTTTGACAGTAATAGAATTGACACTGACTAATTCGGACAACATGAAATAATCATTTTCAAAAAAATAATGAAAATAAACGAAAATTATATTGTTATGGCCTGTAACATCTTGTGATCCATGACAATGAGTAACAAATTTATCATATAAATAATTAAAAATAAAATTATTTAAAAAGAAAAAAAAAATGAATCAGAATGAGCTTTATTGGCAGGCATGTTTACACATACGAGGAATTTGTTTTAGTGACAGAAGCTCCACAGTGCAACAGAATGGCAGTGACAAGACAAGACACAGATAATAAAAAGAATAATATACAAATATACAAAATAGACAATGTGCAAAATAGCAAAACCACAATATACAATATAGACAATTATGTATGTACAGGTATGATATGTGCAAATTTGAAATGTAAATAAGTATGTGTGTTAAATAAATAATGTATAATAGTGTTGTGTGTTCTACGTTTATTGTCAGGTGTTCATGAGATGGATTGCCTGAGGGGAGAAACCGTTCCTGTGTCTGGTCGTTCTGGTTCTCAGTGCTCTGTAGCGTTGACCAGATGGCAACAGTTCAAAGAGGGAGTGTGCTGGATGTGAGGGGTCCAGAGTGATTCTGCCAGCCCTTTTGCTCACTCTGGACGAGTACAGTTCTTGGAGAGAAGGGAGGGTTGTACCAATGATTCGCTCAGCAGTCCGGACTACCCTCTGAAGTCTTCTGAGGTCAGATTTGGTAGCTGAGCTGAACCAGACAGTTATTGAAGTGCAGAGGACAGATTCAATGATGGCGGAGTAGAACTGTTTCAGCAGCTCCTGTGGCAGGTTGAACTTCCTCAGCTGGCGAAGGAAGTACAACCTCTGCTGGGCCTTTTTAACGATGGACTCAATGTGATTGTCCCACTTCAGGTCGTTACAGTGCTGTCCATGATGGTGAGTTTTGGTAGCTGAGCTGAACCAGACAGTTATTGAAGTGCAGAGGACGGATTCAATGATGGCGGAGTAAAACTGTTTCAGCAGCTCCTGTGACAGGTTGAACTTCCTCAGCTGGCGAAGGAAGTACAACCTCTGCTGGGCCTTTTTAACAATGGACTTGTCCCACTCAGGTTGTTACAGTGCTGGCCATGATGATGAGTGGAGGGAGAGCAGGGGGGTTTCTCCTGAAGTCCACGATCATCTCCACAGTTTTGAGCGTGTTAAGCTCCAGGTTGTTAAGACTGCACCAGACAGCCAGCTCTTTAACCTCCTGTCTGTAAGCAGACTCGTCTCTGTCCTGAATGAGGCCGATAAGTGTGGTGTTGTCTGCAAACTTCAGGAGCTTGACATAGGTCTTTAGAAGTGCAGACATCGGTGTAGAGGGAGAAGAGCAGTGGGGAGAGGATGCAACCCTGGGGAGTGCCAGTGCTGATCGTATGGGTGCTGGATGAGAATATTCCCAGCTTTACTAGCTGCTGCCTGTCTGTCAGGCACCTGATGATCCACTGACAGACGGTGGTGGGTACTGAGAGCTGAGTTAATTTGTTGACTGTATCATCCACAGACCTGCAGGGGGTCCAGTGATGTTCTTCAGATAAGCCAAAACCAGTCTTTCAAATGATTTCATGGCCACAGACGTTAGAGCCACAGGTCTGTAGTCATTAAGTCCAGTAATTTGGGGTTTCTATGGGATGGGGATGATGGTGGAACATTTGAAACATGAGGGGACTTCACACAGCTCCAGTGATCTATTGAAGATCTGTGAGAAGATGGGGGCCAGCTGGTCAGTGCAGGTTTTCAGACAGGCTGGTGTCACACCGTCTGGGCCTGGTGTCTTTCTTCTCTTGTTCTTTCTGAAGACCTGATGCACATCAACTTCACTGGTCTGAAGTGCAGGTGTGGGGGAGAGGGGGGTTGCAGCAGGTGTTAATGGTGTTTTTTCAAACCTTCAATAGAACTCATTCAGATAGTCTGCCAGTTGTTGATTCTCCCCAGTGCTAGGGGATGTTGTCTTGTAGTTGGTGATGTCTTTCAGACCTTTCTACACTAAAGAAGGGTCACTGGAAGAGAATAGGTTCCTTCGTTTTCCAGAATAATTCCTCTTTGCCACTCTGATCTCCTTTTCCAATGTGTATTAGGCCTGTTTACACAAGAATCTGTCCCCATACCTGCGAGCATCTTTTGCCTGACAGAGCTGTCTTGAGTTTTGCAGTGAACTATGGTTTGTCATTGTTGTAGGTTAAATGAGTCCTGGTAGGAATGCACAAGTCTTCACAGAAACTAATGTAGGATGTTACAGTCTCTGTGAGCTCGTCCAGATCGGTGGCAGCAGCTTCAAAAACACTCCAATCAGTGAGGTCAAGCTTGTAAATCCTGCTCTGCTTTATTAGTCCATATTTTTACAGTCCTTAATACAGGTTTAGCTGATTTCAGTTTCTGCCTGTCGGTATGAGATGAACTAAACAGTAATCAGAGAGCCCCAAAGCTGCTCTGGGTACAGAGCGATATGCATTCTTTATTGTGGTGTAAAAATGGTCCAATATACTACTGTCTCTGGTGGGACATATAACGTGCTGTCTATATTTTGGTAGTTCACGGGAAATGGTAGTTAATTTTTGATAGTTCATGCTTTATAAAAATGTCCACAATGGACACCAAATGTACCTGCAATTATAGAATCCCCCATATATGCACATCCAACCCAGTTTCATGGCAGTTTGTGATATTGTCACGAAATTTAATCTATTGATTCATGTTCATGGACACGAATTTCCCTCTTTATTCGTGTCACTCTGCACGACTTTCCATCTAATGTATTTCAATAGGAAATATCTTTCGTGCCCTCCACCACATTTTTCTTTTTGCCACAGGGTACCACAGATGCTTAATTTTTTTCTGATTTATTATTCTTTCTTTTTTTTTTTAATATTCAAGCAATATTACTCAACATTTAATCAGGAGATTTTATCCTTGTTTTTATTGCTTTATATTCTGTAAGCTACTCGCTATCATAAACCATTGTCAGTGGTTCCTTGCAGTCAAATATACTATACACTAACACAGATTTAGACAGATTTGTGTACAATATTTGAGAGAAATAGGCCTTTTGTGTACATAGAAAAAGTCTTAGATCTTTGAGTTCAGCTCATGAAAAACGGGGGCAAAAACAAAAGTGTTGCGTTTATAATTTTGTTCAGTGTACATTAACAACATCTCCAAAACTGCTGTGAGAGTAACTTCATGAGCATTTTACCGTTTCATTTGAGTAAAACTAGCCTATATCACACAGAAAAAGGGGTCCTATTATGCTTTTTAACTTTTTTAATTGTAGTCAGTGTGTAGTGTGTATGTTTGGGCATTAAAAAGATCTAGAAAGTTACAAATCTCAAAGTCCTCTCCAAAGGGAGATATTTAGTTTTCAAGAACTACAGCAAACGGCTCGTTTGGACTACAGCGTTTGGTTTCCGGGCTTTGTGATATCACAAAGCGGCTCATTGGAATATCATTACAAATAATTCCCGCCTACGGAGATTCGAATGGTTGGGGGATGGGGAGGGGCGAGGTTGTGGTTAGAACGCTTGATTGAGTGAGTGCATCAGACGAGACGACGAAGAAGAAGTGCTGATGCAGAGTTAGTGCATCAGAGAAAACCAAGAAGAAGAGCTGCTGTGCTGTAGCGTAAAATTTTTGGCACGTCTAGAACAGTGGTTCTCAATTCCAGTCCTCGTGTACCCCCGCTCTGCACATTTTGTATGTTTCTCTTATTGCTTCATACGTTTGTTATATTTGACTGTAAGTGCCCTGCGAAGTGGACATTACCGGATATTCCTCCATGATTCCAGTTTGAAGGGAGCGTATATGTTCCATACAAAGGGCATTTAAGAGTGTGAGATGTGAATTTAAATTGTATTTATTTACAGAGGTATATTATGCCCCACTTCACGCTTCTCTAGTAAGTTTCGTTTGTGTGTGAAGACACTGAAGACGCTGCAGGCAGCGGCGCAGCAGCGCAA